GAGCCCTCTGGGTTCAAAGGGTTTTGGGTTTAGGGTTGCGAAAGTCTTGCTGGGCCCTCATCGCCCCCGGAGCACTAACATTGTTTCTGCAATTGAAACATGATTTACTGAGCTGCTGAACTCCAAACCATTAATTTTTTCAACTTCTAAACCTCCTCACAAATTTCTCAGCTTGAAAAGCAGCATAACGTCTAGCTTATTAACTTCACAGACACCAAGGAAAGAAGCGCCCAATGGACCTTTGGCTTTTGCATCCTCAGCGCTATGATGGACGGGAGGATCCAGGCCAACACAGTGAGCTGATCCTCGACTCAACCACGGCTTAGGTTTTAGGCTTGGGTTCAGGCATGCAATGTGGCGATCGGGCTCATAGAATCATAGATATGGCAGTCATGGTTTTCATCTGCTATCATGACCACACTGCTCGCAGTTGCAGCACAAATTTCAAACAGAGGTGGCGTATCGAGGTTAGTACCAGTGGTTTGGTTTCAGGGATTCGCTCCCTTGTGGGTAACAACAGCGTCGCGGCTTGTCGTGAACCCTATAGAAGCTTTTTTCAGGACCTGTAGAAAGCCCGCAAAGCTTCTGGAAGTGAAGATGACGTTTCATAAAGCCTCAGAAGGTTTTGATGAAACGATTCACAGGACCTTGTAGAAATGTTGTCTCGCCTTAAGACCTTAAGCTTTCAGACCTGGCATCCGAAGGCATCAGCAGCTGACCTCAAACCCTTACGCCTGAACTGTGAAACCCTGAACTCTAAATCCCCAAGTCTTGTGTACTGTCCTGTAAAGTTTCCGTGTTTTCCTGGGATGTTTGGGGCAGAATGTAGAGCTTCTGCTTTGACTGTCTGGGTTCTTTGGTTTGAGAGTCTCTTTTCCAGGGGATACCTTCATCCTGCTTTGATGGGCTGGTTTGAGGGCTTGCTCTGGTTGAGGGTCGATTTGCTGATGCCGACTGGACCGTGCTGCAACAGCATTCCTAGGGACTCGTGCCGAGGAAAGGTCCCGTTAAAGAAATCCCCAAGTCCACCTCCCCAAACACTTTCAACCCACAAACATTAAACCCTTGAACTTAAAGCCTACACCAGATGAGCTAGAGTCTAAACTCCTAGTATCCGCCTTAATAACCCCTTTCATACTTCCCTATATAATCCCCCATGTAAGTCCCTTTGAGGAGTAAAGTTTAGACCCTTAAACCTGAAACCCTAAACCCTGAACCTTCAACCCCAAGCATAGAAGGCTCCACCCTACTGAGCGCCTGCGCTCGATCCCTGCAGTGGCGCGCTGCTCTGCGTCTGCTCAGTGCAATGCCGGGGCTGGAGGCAAAGGGTCTAGGGTTTAGGCTTTCGGGCTCTGGCTGAAATCTGAAACAGCGCGCGAAGCAGGTGTCCTGTAGGTTTCTTTCTAGGTATCGAATGTTCAGAGTTCATGGTTACGGAGCGTCTAGGGAGTTGTAGATTGTTTATGATTGTTTTGTGTTTTGGACATCTTCACCAGCTTGAGCAGGGACCTAGTGCGCCAAACACGAAGTCAAGGGTTCTGGGCTTTGAGCTGCAGAGATACTGCCTCACGGCACGGATATCGTTGCGGGAGTGGGGCTTGAGGAATAAGGACAAGTAAGGCCAAGTGGTTATATCAGCCGTTTTTTGGGAATTCAGTTTGGCTTTGGAAAGAGGGTGTGTGTCCCAAGACAGTGCCCATATGCTTGATTTAGACGGAAATGTAAAATTGTCTGCTGCAAGCAAGCGCTAGCAGGAACTGTTGAGAGCTGCTTTAAAGTTATTGGACATTAATCTACGCACTTTAGCCTGTTCTGGGACATGTGGGGTATGAAGGAACAACACCCTCCTCCAAACGAACATGGAGGCCAACATAGTCACTTTTTCGAAGGACAAATACCCTCTTTGTCTGTGGGTCTTGATACCAAAATTTTCTCCATGACCGTAGGTGCCGTAGACCTTGCGGATGCCGATATTTAATGACATTTTAGGATGCTAAGTCAGGGAGAGTTTGCAGTATCAAAGTGGCAGCTTTTTTCTGGGGGATTGCACAGTTCTCTGAGAGGTCAGCATAAGCTTCGGATAGGCTCAGGCAAAGCCCGCGATGATCTTCTATTGAGGCCCAGAAGTCCTCGACACCCAGCCCGCCAAGTTCTAAGTCCTAAACCCTGAACAACCCTGAACCCAAGTTCCAAGTCCTAAGAACCGAGTTTCGAGTTGGGACGCTGCCCCTGAAGCGAGGTTCTCCCGTGCATTGTCAGCTTCAATGCTGCAACTGAGGCTCTCAGAGGCGCGCCGGGAGAAATGCTAGGCATGTTACCCTAAACCCTAAACCTTTGTTTTGGCTGAGGGCCCTTAGTGCCAAGCAAACTACTCGACTCCACGCCCACAGCCGTTAACTCTCAGGCTGGTTTCACGCCCAAGCAACCGAATACATAAAACCAGGTCCCATTTCATTTCCCGTTTTCATGTCCATTCGATTCTCCATAAGTGCTGTAATATCCCTAAACCTTATATAATCCTTAGGTAATCACTATATAACCTTATATAACCCTATAGCGTGCCGTCATATCCCTGAACCCAAACCCAAGAGCGCAGCAAATTCACAAGCTAGCATAAGGGATTACAATAGTACCTCCACAAAAAAATTGCCCCCCAGATTTAGAACCTTATAGGGCCTTGTTAGCCCTTAAACTATGGGGGGGGTCATTTTTTTGGGGTGTACTATTGTAATCCCCTAAAGCATCGGCAAGTGCCAGTTCCGCTCCGAGGCTTGAGCACGATCCCTCAGTTCATGTGTGAGATTCCCTCAACTTACCTGGTTTAGGGTTTAGGGTTTTATTGGAGTTATATTGGGGTTCTTTTGGGGTAATGGAAAATAGAACGGAAGTTACCATTTAGGGTTTTGAAAGAAGGGCTTATGAAAAAGGTGAGCAAGGGAACATAGCCCTTTCATAATCCCTTTCTAACATGTTCTGTTATTCCGCACTGACCCCCCAGGCAGTAAAGAATGTCAGAGCCTGAGCTCGAAACGTGAAACCCCACAGGCACAGGGCTTTGGCAGATAGCTCTGCGCCTCCTTGCAGACGCCCGGCGGCTGCGCTTGGAGGCGGCTGAAAGCTTACGGGGATGGTCGGGTATAGCTTAGGGTTATTTTGGGGTTATATAGGGATAATGGAAAAGAACATGGAAACTACTATTTAGGGCTTAAGGTTTAGGGGGGCGATTTCTGGGCCCTAGAGATATGAAGGGGTTTGGACAGTGAGGATCATGTAGGGTTGATTTTAAGAAACTGTCACATGGGGGAGCAGGGGACACGAGTATTTGCAAGAAGGTGTTTTTGATTGGAAAAAAGTGAGATATGAGAAGATGCAGCACACTTTGGGATGCTGCTGGTTTGTTGCATGGCAGATTTGCTAAAACGTAAACATGCGCGGGTTTCCATTTTGAACCTATCTATCATTAGGATTCTCGCATCAAGGGGCGTTGTGCTCTGGGGCCCGGGCAAACTATAGATTTTGCTGTAATTTCATGCGTCCTATGCCGTGAACGAGCTGGTTGCACGCCTTTTCGGGCTTCAACGTCCTTGCACTCCAAGCTCCCAAATCCGATGTTCAAAGCAAGACTACGGGCCCTAAACCCAACAACTCTGAAACTGTACTTGCCTTTGGTTAGCTAGGAATGAAGGAATTGGATCCTTATGGTAGTCTGTATGTATATAACCCATTATAATAGTTTCCATATTTTGTTTTCCATTCCTTCATTCCCATCTAAGCAAAGGTAAGTATAGAGGACCGCAACATCAAGTGCCAAGCCCGACGCCCTACCCATTGACCCTCTAGCGGCAATATGGTTTTCGTTGCGAAAGCTCCCTCTTCTACATTGCTTCTGTGCATGCTTTAGCCGTCCATTTTGGTAGTGCCCTTGTTGATTTCCTTGTTCTCCGTATTGAGGCGGTGTAGAATCTAGCCCTGGGCAAGGCTAGTGTCTTAAACCTTCATAACACACCCAGTGATTCCCAAATTGCAGTTGCGGAGTCCTTGTCTTAGGGGTTGGGGTGACCCAATGGGAGCTTTTCGGAGTTATCTTTATGTGATCCCCAGAGGGGGCTTGCCGTCATCCACTCATGTCCATGATGCAACCCCCATATTGAGAACTCCCCACCCATACTCGGCCTTTGGTTAGATGGGATTGAAGGAATGAAGAAGAAAAGGATAATGGGTTATATAGGGACTAGGGACTACTGTAAGGATCCATTCCTTTATTCCTAGCCCTAAACCCTAAACCCTATACTATAAGGATCCATTCCTTTCAACTAACCAAAATGCCAGATGATCCTGATTTCAGGTGGATGCCGTGACCTTCAGCAGCGCCCTTGGCGCTGCAGGGCCGCGCATTTCCTGGATGCTTGTCCTGTCCCTGGCAGCTTGGGTCTCACATGGTTTAGGGTTTAGAGGGTGATAACATGGAGGAGCCCTGTCATGTTTACTTTTCTCCTGTGTCGTCATGACCAGGCAAAATCTAGATCATGCTCTCACCAAACACTTTCTGAACAACTTTTAGAAATTGTGACCTCTACATTTCCACCGACAACAGCCGACACAGAGGAAGAAAACAAAACACACAAAAAGTGCGCCGCGCTCCGCCAGACGAACATGGACCCTCAATCTAAGAAGGGCGCCTTTGCGGGCTCCGTGTTTCATGGTGGAAGGATACCACACCCTCGTTGTTCCGCTAGGCCTGGCTTGGGGGATGTTTGTCACCGTGTATCTGTTTGTGACTGGGTTTTGACCGGACTCCTCATGGGCTGAGAGTAGCGGAACTTCGGTGGGTTGAGGTTATTGTTTGTTTTATTTGTGTCACGGATTCCCCGTCTAGTACGCCCTAAAATACCTGCAGCCCCAGAGCAGGCAGAAGGCTCCATAATTAGATGTATTCCCCACATATCCCTCGCACCCCTATTTTGATAACTCTACAACCCCGCAACAGTTCTGCAACTAAGGTGCGTGCTATGGAGCTACTTGGCTTCAGACGCTAAACCATACTTTCTGCACTCGTGCTTCAGAACATCCATGTTCTTCTGAGGCGTTCTCACCATTAATCTTCTTTTGGTTGAAGTTCCTTCACTTGTCTATGTGCTACCCGCTTTGAGACGATACTGCGTCTAATCCGAATGAGTAGTAGGAAATATCAGGAATGAGGCGCTGCATGTCAACATTGGTCCTTGTATAATCTCCTGGTCCAGGCCCTTTTTTGCTCTGTGCTAGTTTCTGAGCGTTTCTCCTTTCTGTCGCATGGCCATTGCGTGCAATTATCATCTCCAGCAATGCTTATTGCAGAAAGGTATACGGTATACGGCATCTGAGCATGCTGCATGCTGTGGTTTCACGTGGTTTCCAGTTTCTTTTCCATGAGCCATGAACGAATTGTCATGCATATTTAGAGTCATCGTTCTTCTCGGGTGCCCGTCAGTCTTTTCGTTTTTTGGTTTCGTTTGCTCTGTGACATGCAAGGTACGAAGACGTGGCCGCAAATACGGTGCCTGGGACCTTCATGCGAGATATTCTTGAAATTCCTTGCGTTGGCAAATGGAATCACTCGGATTGCAGAGGACTTTGGAATTCAGGGAGCCCAATACCCCTCCACTAAGGAAAATTCCTTAAACCATATTAGGGATCTTGGTATGATTCAAGGTATCTTCCTGAATGTAGGGGTATTGGGCTTTCTGGGAATCCACATTCTGGATGTGTTAGGGGTGAGACGTGGAAGCTTTACTCCCGATCACATTTGTTCACCTCATCAGTGGGCCCGTTTGCCGAGTGCCTCTCTGTTACTTCTCAGCTCGGTCCCGCAAACTGTGGTCATTACACCTTGTACCTAAGTCATCAAGATGCAAGGACCGCAAGAATTTGAATTCAACGTTCGCCATTAGTTCACAAAGAACAGCTTCATTTAGGGTCGTACATTCCGAATCCTTGTGCATATAGCCTCGAAGCCCAGCCACGACTGATTACGATAATTGCAGGTATGCCCTTGCTTCTTGTAACTCTTGGGTCCACTGGCTTCTCCTCTTGCTTCATGAGCTTTATGGCAACTACTACGCAACATCTACTGCACACAGCTCCTGCTGTGCTGTGTCATCCCAATCTTAACTGTTGAAAAGGCTGGTTGAGCATGGAATCGTTGTAAACAGTCTCTGCGGTGACATCGTTGGAAACGAAGTCCTCGTAAACCTGGAGGCCAAACCCTAAAGCCCCAGAGCCACTGCAGGTTTGCCTCAATGGTGCCCTATACATCTGCCAGAGGGCTAGTCGCTGGAAGAGCGTTTTCGAACTTTTGAGCCGCTAAGTCCTGTTCAACACCTGGCTTTTTCCGGATACTCCGCTTCATACGACCCCAAGCTCTATAATGCTGGTTTGAGGAATTTCCAAAGGGAACTGCTGCAAGTCCGGTTGTCTGCGGGTTACTCTGAGTGGTTCTGCTCTGGGAAAAGCCAGGCTTTACAATATGCGGTTCCAGTTTCCAAACAGTCCTAAACCCTAAATAGTAGTTTCCTTTGTATTTTCCATTATCCCTATATAACCCCTATATGACACCGGTTATAACATAGTAGTTTCCATTTCTATTATGAGTTCCCTTACCATCCACGCCAGACCTCTGCAGCCACTGCTCCCCCTTAACTAGGGCTACTCAGGGAAGCTTAAGTAACATTGATTCAGGGGGAGCCATGGGGGGGGGGGTATAGAATCCATGAAAGAGGCCTAGGCCTCTTGAGCCCTAAAAGCTGATCCCTGGTAATGGAACCGTTAGCTTCTTGAGGGCTTGTACGTTACTTCATAGGCCGCGGTTTCGTCGTGGGTTGGTGTACAAAAGCCTTTCGCAGATTGAGCTTCTATGAATCATCTGTGAATGTATCGCTTTGGCACGAAGTCAGTAGATGGTCCTGCAACGAAAGCCTCAGAGTGTTCGTCGCCAGATTGCTAGGGCCGCACTGGGCCACTGTCTTCGAAGTTCGCCCACTGAAGCTTGTTGTCTCAAACTCATCGTCCGAGCAGGCAGCACCTACCGCACTACCTGCAAACCTAGTCTGCACTCACACTCGCGCCCGCCTGGTGCACTTGGTAGTTTCCACAAATATGGGGACCGCAATATAGACCCGAGAATTGTATAGTCCTTGATATTGGGACCTCCGAAAATGCTACCCATATCCCCAGACAACAACCGTAAATTTTGGTTTCCATTTTCTTTGCCATTTCCATTATATAATTCCCCATAAAACCCCGAATACTTCCAAGATGTCGCAAAGCTTAGTTTGGACCGTGAAGCTGTGTTGAAAATGCTGAGGCTCTCCCTCTTCTGAAAACCTGAAGGTTTAGGGTTTTGTAGTAGAATCGCGGGTTACAGGGGAATTTATAGGAGTGCGAGGGTTGATGGCCACAAAGACTTGTTGTAAGGCACAGGCGGCGTAATGTTTCCTGAAATCAAATCTGAAGCTCTAAGGGCCCTTAGGGGTTTAGGGTGAAGGTGCGACCGGGCTACCCCATCCTGCTGTATAGCAGTCCAGGCTCAAAACCTGCAAGCACCCTAAACCCTACGTAAAACCTACACCCTTAAACCCCAGAGCTTCGTATATACAGATGTTCGCCGACATTTGGGTTCCTCCAGGCAAGTTTTGGAGATGTGCAGAAGGTGTTCTGTTTTTTTTGGGTGACAAAGGGGCATTTCCAAAAACTGGAGAAAGGGAGCCGCATGGAGCCCCCAATGGAGACCATAGTATATAAGGTTCTGTATTGGGGCCCCTGTTTATGGAAATTGCGACATCCACAGTTGACAAAGCCTGGACAAAATCCAGTCGAGTTTGAAGGCTGGAGGTTCTAAGAAGGACCCTGTCTGGTATTCCCATGATTGCTTTTGCAGCAAAGGTCTGCAGAGTCATAAAATCATTGCAGAAGTACAGGTAAGCCTTCCTTTAATCTATACAGTTGTCATATCTGGAAAGTCTATTCTCTGGGGAGCAGGATTACAAACCACAGAGCCACCGTTGAAATCCTTGTATCTATTCCATTTTGCATCTGATGTTCCTCTTGATTCTTCACTACTAGGGGGAGGGGTGTTCTATTCTGAGTAGGGATATCCCAAGTCATATCGGAATAATTTCTTACAGTTGCCAGAGTTCCTCCTCGTTGCTGTCATACATCACTGTTTGGTAATGCGCTTACCTCTAAATCCTAAACTCGAAACCAGACCCTAAACAATGGATCCTAAACCCTGAGCCCTAAACCTTCAGTGGGAACTGGTTCAGTGGGGAGGTGGAGCAGCCCAGGTCGCATGCAAAGAGTCGAAGTTCTGCCCGATGTCCTAAGCTTTGACAGCGCCCTGCGAGCAGCGGAGGCTCTTTCGGGTGAAGGTTTGGGATACTTTTAAGGGGATGTAGGGGATACATGGGGGACATTCAGGGGATACGTTGGGGTGATGGAAAGAAGATGGAAGCTACTGTTTAGGGTTTAGGGTTTAGGAGCTGCTGTTTCGGTGGGTTAGGTGGAGTGCAACAGGCATTCAGGGAGGTCAGGTAGGGTTCGGTGAAGATTTTGGGTGTTTTTGGAAGGCCTCTGGAATTCTTGGGGTTCACACCATTTGCTGAAAGAGTTCATGCCAGCAACATGAAAGTGGAGAGCGCCGCCAGGAATTTCTAGGTCTTTTTGGCTGTTGTAATTACGCATAAGGGCATAAGGCTTGCTTTTCTCTAGGCCGACCCTAGCCCTTACACCCTAAACCCTCAACCCGTGTACTTTTCTCTAGGCCGAAGGGTTCAGCGCTTAACCTTGCAAATCTTACCTTGGGTTAACTGGGAATGAAGGAAAGAAAACGGAAACTACTATAATGGTTATAGGGACTACTGCAAGGATGCATTCCTTCATTCCTAAATAGTCAAGCGTCAAAAATCCAAGTCTGAGCCCTAAGTCCTGGGCTCCTGAAGCGTTTCAAAGGCTGGGTCTTGGACATTCATCTCTTCCCCCTACTCTTCAAACACGCCACCCCCCCTAAGAAAACATATTTCTCATGTGATTTTCTATATTATATTGTATTATATTACATATCATCCCTGATATTCATACCACACACCCATAATATTGAATACACATATGGTTATATGGATATTATTTTGCATTCATTATTATGGGTGAGGGGTTTTAACATGTGGGGGAAGGGGTTAGCTTGTCAGACTTGTAGTTCATCACCTAAATGTAGTTGACTGCGGTATTTTCAGAGATGCGGTTTAGGGTTTAGGGCTAAAAATCCCCCTGAATGCTTAAGTAGATAGAATATGGCTTTGGGTGTGTTATAGCAAGATCCCCATATACCCCGTATTCTATCTACTTAAGGGGGACTATAGGCTAGTCTCTCCATCTATGCCACACTTTGAGCAGCTGTGCTTCTTCTAGCCGAGCCGTCCAGGTACAAGGGAAGGTGGGAGTAAAGCGCCCCTTCACCCCTAAAATGGTTTAGGATTTAGGGTTGGCATGTATTGTGCTAATCCAACAATGAGCGATAGTGTAACGACATCTCCACATACAAATGTATGCAAGGCTCCGTGCAAGAATTGCGACAAGTTTTAGGATGATGGGAGTCACGTAGGGTCGCAAATTTCCAGGGCATTCCTGTGAGAAATGGCGAGCCCTACCACTCTTGCCGTAAAAGTTTTATGCGCAGTCCTTGTGAAGCTTTGCAATCTTTGATAAGCCCCCTGACTCCAAAACCAACATATTGTAATGAAGGTGGGCGAACACGGTAGCTGGCTGGCGGCCCACGCCCCCAACATGGCTCGAGCGGCAGTGGCCAAGCTATTGGCGAGCTGATAAGAATTGATGGGAGGGGCGCAAGTAGGCTTAGGCAGGATTGAATAGCCTTAGCTAGGACACCCCTTTGTGCACGTAGAAGGCATCATGCGCTCTGGCTGGACCTGAGAGGTGAAGCATATCATCTCAAGACATGCCCAAGTGATCTTTCCGCGGAATCGAAGGCTCGCCAAATCTCTGGAAAAGGGGGTTTTACATTTCACGAACCTTTGGTGCCTTTTGGGTTCAGGATCCAGCTCCCCTCCAGATTTTGAATGTAGTAGGTTATGTAGTGTTCGAGGTCTGGTGTGGCCTAGCCTGGTCAACAGTGTCCTGTAGGGCACTATGGTTTCAAAGCTTCGTGGAAGACCAGCTCGGAAGAGTTGCAAGCCTGAAGGGGTCGGACCATCACATCAGGATCGTCTCCTTTGTTTCTTAGCAAACACCAAGGAGCCAGTTGAAATACATCCAAACTTCTTGCTACCGTTAGCGTGCCGCCACAGTTTCTCGAAGGTAGGCCGGCACCTGCCTATACCCAGCTTTTTGTGGGAATCACAGGGCTTGCGGGGCTCAAAGAAGCATCGTTCTTGGGCGTCCATTCTTTCGTTCTTCTCCAAGTAACGAGAAGCCAGGGCCATGGTCAGCATGCATGGCTCCGCTGTCGTTGGGCAGCTCCTGGTCCCAGGCTCTCTTGGATGTTTCAAACCGCCAGGACCATTCCTGGGGGTGAGCTGGGGAGGCCTTGAAAGGTCCGTGCGATGTGATTTCTTTACTGTGCTTACTTGAGGGTTCTTCCAACTTTTTCCAGGTTTAATGCGTCTCATGCGAGGACCTCATCACCCACACGAAGGCAATCCATGCCAGCGGCTGCGCTGGCCGCTGGACTGCCGCTCTGGCGGTGCTGGGAAGCTGGGAGGTCGTCCGGCTTCAGCCCGACGTCGTCGGCTGCAACAGCGCTTTAGGTGCCTGCCAGCGCTGCGAGCAGTGGAGCCTTGTTGTGGCGCTTCTGGATGCCATGGGCCAGTGCCACCTGCTGCCAGATGTCATCAGCCACAATTCTGCGATACCAACAGAGCTTCTGGACGGCTGGAGAATCGCTGTTGCTGGCCTGGATGGCATCTTTGGCCGCCATGATGCCAGTGTAGTAAGCTTCAGCAGCGCTGTAAAGTCTTGTTCATCTGACCGCCAGTGGAGAGTTGTCTTGAATTTGGTGGTGACAATGAGCTCCAGAGCCCTGCTCCCCAACGTCATCCTTGCAACTAGTGCGCTCAGTGCATGTGAAGAGGACAAGCGCTGGAGCCTGGCCCTGCGCCTGCTTGATGTCATGTCCGTCTGCGCTGTCCAGGCCAATGACTTTACTTGCAATGCGGCTATCAATGCGGGAGCACGGGATGGGCAGTGGCGCCTGGCTTGCCAGCTAATGGATGTCATGAAGGGCTCCGTCGTGCTGCCGGATGCCATCAGCCACAATGCTGCCATGAGCGCGTGTGCCAATGCAGGGCAGTGGCCCGCGTGCCTGGCAGTCATGGCTGCAGTGCAGGCAGCCATGGTCCTGCCTGACTTGATTACATACAACAGCGCTATGGCCGCCTTCGAGAAGGGAGGGCAGTGGGAGTCAGCCCTCCATCTTCTCAGCTGCATGGCTTCTGCGAAGTTGGCGCCCGATGTGATCACCTTCAGCAGTGCCATCAGCGCTTGCGAGACATGGCTGTTGTTAAGAAGTCTGTGCTAACATGGGGCACAGGCCCCAAAGCATAGACCAGGGCTGTGCCGGCCGAATGAATGCAGACCCTCAAACTTAGTAAAGCTGCTTGTGAGATAGAGATTTGATTCGGAGATTGAGTTGCCAGTCCAGATCAAAAAGAATTAGTTCCTTTATCTCGATTCCTTAGGAGAAGGGGAGGCAGTGGCAGCTGGCGCTAAGCCTCCTCACTGAGATGCTGTTGGGACCCATCTTGCCCAACGTGCCCGGGTTACACTAGGGCTTTTTTCTTACTGCTTACCCTAAATCTTAATTAATCCGCCTCAAACCCCAATGACCATGCCCTATTCCTGGGCCAGGTGTTCCAACCCCGAAACAGAAAACAGCAGTAACTAGGTGGTTGCCTGCAGCAGCGCCATCAGCGCTTCCGAGAAGACTGCTCAGTGGTGGCCTGGGCACCAGACAAGTACCGTTTGTTCATGTCAGATGTCGCGCGACCTCCAACCATTCCTAGGCTGCAATCAAGTCCACAGTCATCTTCAGACATCGATCTTTTTTGGAGTGATGGGACCGGATCTCCAGTGCAAAGCTACATAATGACCCTGTAATACCCAACTGCCATCCATATAAGTGTAGTCAGAGCAAGATTCCGCAAGATTGCCGACTTAGGCTCCAAAACTGGTTTGCCATTGTTGGGATCATTGCATGAGGGCACGTGAAGGGGGGTTTAGGGGTTAGGGTTTAGGGGGTCGATTTTGAGACATGCCAGCTTACGGGAGAAATCACATGCTCGGAGTTCTGCTGAATCCGCGAGAGTCGTTCAACAAATCCCAAACATTGGGAGAATCGCATGCATCGGTGTATACACCCTCACCCCACAATCCAAAACCCAAACATTGCACGTTGCCCTGAACCCTGAATCCCAAACCTTAAACCCAAATCCCTGAACCCTAAAGTCCAAGCCCTAAACCCCCCCAAACCCCACAAAACCCAAAAACACCAAAACCCCAAACCCCCAAAATTCCTTAAATCAAGGCTGATAGCAGTGAAGCTCCTGGCTGACATGGACGCCTTCCGCTTGGAACCCGATGCCTTGAGCTACAACAGTGCCACCGGGCCTTGCTGGTAAAGCTTTGGGGTTCAACTTCGGGGTTAAGGTTTAGGGCCACTGCTCCAGAGGTGCAGCAGTGGCAGGGGACGTCTTGTTTGCGGATAGGGATTGCGGGATTTCAGTGTCTTCAGGGTGTAACCGAGGGCTTGGGAAGTTTGAGGGCATCTAGGGTTTTGGGCTTCCAGAACCCCAAACCCTCGGGGCAGGGCTTGGGATTTGGTAGGGTGGTTGGCCTTCTCAGGCACCTGACTCTAGCCATAGACCTGTTTTTTCTCACCCCAGGACACAGGGTTCAGATTAGCATGCTAAGGGTGGGACCATCTCCTGCCATAGGGCTTGAGTGCACAACTCTTCCTCACGCCTGTTCGTGTATGTCGCCCGGCAGCTTACGCGAGATTGAACTTTCAGAGCAATTGAGAAAAACCCATCCATGCGCATGTGTCAAACACATGCATGCCAAGCCTTGCACTCACCGTTGACCGTCCACAGCTGCGCTGAAGAGCCCTAATCTCCAGTCCAAAACGCCAACCTCTTTGCCTTCAGCAGCCAGACTGCAGGGCTTCACATGGAGCTGATCACAATAGCCACATCAGAAGTCTGGAACGCCATGAATCCCCAGGGTCCCCAACCATGGGCTGGCCCCCTTTGGTTTACGCATCAGGCCATCTCTGCTTGCGAAAATTGCGGCCAGTGGTCGTTGGCATTGAGCCTGAGCTGCTGAGTTGAGGCTTTGGGGATAAGGGCGCTTCTGTAAGAGCACTTGCGCGCACCTCGATGATATAGTTGGATTAGAAGCAGAGTCTAGAGGTCCCCATCCAAACTTTTCCGGGATTGTTTTCAGCCAGGATGCAAAAAAAAGCGGGCATAGGGACGAGGGTTCACAGTTTAGGGTTTAGGGCGTAGAGGCTCTGCTTTGCTTTGCATCGTTCGCTTCTTTCCCCCCCCTCCCACTCCCCCTCCCCTCCCCCTCCCCCCCTCCGCCCCCCCTCCCCTCCCCTCCCCTCCCCTCCCCTCCACTCCCCTCCCCCTCCCCCCGTCCCCGTGTGCTTTTGTCTGTTCCTTTCTCGACAAGTTGTTTTTGCTTGTGTGAGTTGGAGCAGCAGCCCTAAACCCTAAAGCCTATTAATTACTAGTTAGCTATGACTCCCATGACAAACCCCTGAGCCACATCGGCAGGATTCCTCAAGCCACGGGTACTAGACCTACTGGGTTGCTGTTTAGGCTATTGAAATACCGATTTTTACTCCATGCCCATATCATGGTAACTTAATTTAAGTTCCTTAACAGCAACCCAGCCTGAGCAGAAGTCAGAGCTATGACTCTTTGTAGAGAAGTTCTTCCCAGAAAGTCCAATACCTCTTAATTAAGGAACATACCTCAAATCATTCTAGGATGATCCCTAACATGGTTTAAGGTATATTCCGAACAATGGGGTACTGCGCTCCTGGGTTCAGGCCCCGGACCCAAAGCTTGGGCCCACGAAGCTCATCCTCAGGGCTCCCTACTTTGGCTTGTCATTCAAGGGTTATATAGGGGTTATATAGGGAATATATACGGTTATATTAGGATAATGGCAAATGAAATGGAACCTATTATAATGGGTTATATAGGGTTTAGGGCCTAGGGTCTACTGCCAAACTTCGGTGGGAGGGGAGATAAGAACCCAGGAGCCTCTTTGCCGACATGCGCTCCCGCAACGTGCAGCCGAGCATTGTCACCTTCAGTGCCCTCATCAGTGCCTGTGAGAAGGCCTCCGGCACAGGTCTTACCGGGTTGCTGTTGAGGAACTTAGATTAAGTCACCATAATGGGTATATATAGTAATTAATGTGGTTTCTCCAATATAGTAACTTAAATTAAGTTCGTTAACAGCAGCCCAGTTTAGGACCTTGCCAGTTGTGGGACTTGACAGGATTAAACCTGCGGTCTTCGAGGGAGTTTGCAGAGAACCCTAGACTGTTCGCATGTGGCAGAGGCCACACACGACCCGTAAATCCTAAACCCCAAACGCTTAGTGCCGAAGAAGCAAAACGTACCCAAGTCATGTATATCTAAGTTCAGCTCTAAGGACTTGTATTATATGACTCGAGGGGGAGAGTCGTAGAAACTCGTGTATTACTGAAGGTTTGAACCCGAACCGCCTAAACCCTTAACCCAATTTTGGGCAGGTTGCAGTTTCCCTCAGCCCTCAAGCCTAAACCAAAACCCA